ACCTCGACTAAAAATATATAGAACTTCTCTAATCCTAATACTAAGGTGGTAATAGTTCTCAATCTTTTAGAACATTAAAAACAGTAGAATTAAAGAAAACAGGTATTTCCTTCTAATTCCTTGTAATTCCAAATATGGAACATAGACTAATAGAATCAACAATAACTAGGAGCATTTAAGAAGCTCAAAATCGAAACCTCCCATCCCATATCTACTGAGTCAGAAACTGTATTTTAACAAAATTCACAAGTCACTTACATCCACATTCAAGTTGAAAAGTTCTCATAACATTTTTACCAGAATTTTTTCTACGTTTTTTTTTTTTGTTTTCTTTGTATTTTTTCATTTTTAAATTTAACAGAATATTTCTGGTTGAAATCCAAGAAGCTCTACTTTTGAAAAGCTCCAAAGATGTACAATGAAGACACAGAATTGTAATATAAGCACTGTGGCTTGAGGGCAAAGAGAAGGTGCTCATTTTTGTAAGACTAGTTTGCATAGTAAAATATTCCAATAAACTGCAGCTACTTACTATTCTTAGTAGTTATTTCATTAAACAACTGTTTCTCTGCTACTTGTCAGGCCCTTAAAAGGATTAGCTACCCTAACACTCTTAGGTGATGTGCATGCATGCACATGTGGCGTGTACACACACATACACACAGAGATCTATTCAGATTATCTGATTCAATCTTAAGAAAAAAGAATTTATTTATTAATTTTTGAGACAGAGTCTCACTCTGTCACTCAGGCTGGAGTGCAGTGGCGCAATCTTGGCTCACTGCAACCTCTGCCTCCTGGGTTCAAGCAATTCTCCTGCTTCAGCCTTCCTAGTAGCTAAGATTACAGGCGCATGCCACCATGTCTGACTAATTTTTGTATTTTTAGTAGAGACAGGGTTTCACCATGTTGGCCAGGATGGTCACGAACTCCTGACCTCAAATGATCCGCCTGCCTCATCCTCCCAAAGTGCTGGAGTACCGGCGTGAGCCACCATGCCAGGCCAGAAACAAGAATTTAATCTAGATTTTGCAAGTAGGGAATTACAAAAAGACTTTTAAAAAATCCATTAGATGCCAGGAAAACAAAGGATCTCACTCACAGACTGTGTAAGCCTACTTTAATCAAATTATAAGGGATCTTGCAAATATTTTTAAGAGTTAAAGTAAACATTGTTTTATTCCTGGAGGTGCAATAGAGGGAAGTTGGGTATGCAATGACAAAAATATTTCAATCTGTGTGGTTCAATGTGACAATTTGGTTAAAAAAAGAAGAAGAAGAAGAATTCTCACTGGCAAGATAGCAAATAGTGGCATACACGTTCAAGTCAAATAGTAGGTATGAGAGGCCTTACAGGATTATCGCAGTCAAGAGATTAACACCACACACGTGAACAAGAGTACATATCACACAAAAATTTGTAGGTTGGGTCTCTCTAGGAATTAGTATACTAATAGGAAACATTTTGAAATTTGTTTAAGCTCAGAAACCAGAAAGCCTGTGAAAATAGCCAGTAAGCGAGTGTTAAAGACAGCCCAACTGAGGTAAGGGAAGATAATCTGGGAAAATGGAAAAAAGAGGCTAATTGTGTTGTGGTAACAGAGTAGATCATTTATAAAGGACATTCAAATAAAAGTGGAATGATTAAAAATGACTCATCGCTAGCAATACAATATTTCAGAGACACAACCTGATGTTTTCTGGATTAAGAATTTCAGACTAGTGGTTCTCAGTTATATTTGATTTTAATCTAGGTAGCTTTTTCAAAAGCAATCTGCACCCCTAACCCTAATACAATTCTTATATGCCCAGGTGTGAGACAGTGACAACATGGCAAAAGACATACAGTAGCCCCCTTCACTGAGGTGATTCTGATATAAACCAACTCCATAAACATGCCTTTGAACATCAAGAACTGAGGCATCTGTGGGCATTTTGGGTTAAAACAAATTTAGACCTGTAGACTTAGTTTATGTTACAGTATTTCCTCAAGTTAATGACTTTCTTGGGATTCGATAGACTGAGGGACCCAATTATAGAAATCCCCACAAAATTATATCTTGTAATTTATCTTTATAAAATACTGGAACATACTGCACTTGAAACAGGGAGAAAAGATAGCTTGAGTATTACAGTAACATTTACATTTCTATGTTATCCTAGTTTAATTTGCTAACCACATCCATGCTGGGTTTTTTTGTTAATTACTTTTTTAAAAAAGTATGGAAGATTTCAAGTATATTAAAAGAAGAAAAATTACTGGATATCTGGTTTTGTCAAATCTTTAAAGTTTCTTACCTAGTTGGTATTTCATCCAAAGTTCGAGTCAAAATTATAGACACACAAAAAAACTGTAAAACTTTTTCATTTTCAATAATTATCATAAGTTCTAGACACAAATTTATAAAATAAGTATCATTTACTAGCTTTCTAACATTTTACAGGGTTTTGTTTTGATTTCTTGTCAACATATGAAAAGCAAAGTACCCTAGCAAAAACAGAGTAGTTATACTCCAATGTTTAACATCAAGTCTTCTATTTTACGGCACTTCAACTAACTGTTTTACTTTCCTCATAAAATCTGAATATAATAATTTCCCTTTAGATTTATTTTTCTTTCTTTAGGTCATTTGTCTTTGCTATAATGACCTCAATATGTGCTAGTGTCAGATTTTTCACATACTTGAATAATGGACAGATGAAAACAGAGTTAAAATCATACTTGTAGATGAAACAGATACAAGATTTCTATAAAGTACCATAAAAACTGACTACATGCTAAACAATTTTGTGCATAATGCTAAGGTAGGCTGCATTGTAGTGCATCTGACTAGTAACCCACTTTCTCAAGACTAAATAGATCATCTACGAATAACAATAGAAAATGGCAGAAATATTAATAAATGGGAACCCAGGCTGGGCGCCACAGCTCACACCTGTAATCCCAACACTTTGGGAGGCCGAGGCGGGTGGATCACTTGAGGTCAGGAGTTTGATACTAGCCTGGACAGCTTGGTGAAACCCTGTCTCTACTAAAAATACGAAAACTAGCTGGGTGTGGTGGTGTGTGCCTGAAATCCCAGCTATTCGGGAGGCTGCAATAGAATTGCTTGAACCCAGGAGGCAGGAGTTGCAGTCAGCTGAGATTGCACCACTGCACTCCAGCCTGGGCGACAGAGTAAGACTCCATCTCAAAAATAAACAACCAAACAGTAACCCCAAATAATCCCTCGCCCCTTTTATTTCAGTCAAGTTTATTTTCCCAGTTATATTGTTAAGAGAACCTCTGCTTTAAAGAACTGCAGCTTAGTACAGTGACTCACACCTATGATTCCAGCACTTTGGGAGGCTGACATAGGAGGATCACCTGATGCCAGGAGTTTGAGATCGGCCTGGGCAACAGGCTGTGAGATTCCTGTTTCTACCACAAAAAGTAAAAAAATTAGCCAGGCATTCTGGCATATGCCTGTAGTCCTAGTACTTGTGAGGCTGAGGTGGGAGGAATGCTTGAGCCCCGGAATTTGAGGCTACAATGAGCCACGATCTCACTACTGCACTCAGGCCTGGGTGACAGAGCAAGATCCTATCTCTTAAAAACACAAACAACTTGCAATTTAGGTGAAAAAGAGAAGTAATATTACATCATTTTTCATTAAACAAACACTTATAAAGTACTTACTGCTAAGTGTTGGACCTAGGCCCTACGTCAGGGGGTCAGGTAAAGATGCAGTCTGATTTCAAGTGACTTAGGGACTACTCAAAGGTCACTCGCAAGTGTATGACTCCACCTGCCATCCATCCAACAAGTATTTCTTGTAAGCCTACTACACATAGGTGATGTTCTAGGTGATGGCAGATGTAGCAGTAAGTAAAACAAGACAAAACAAAGTTCTCATTCTCACAGAGCATCCATTATGGTAAGGGGAGAAAAGGAAATAGAAACATATCAAGTGATTATAAAAAAGAATAAGGAAAAAAAGGACAGTAATTTTATATAAAATAATGACATTCATCTTCGTGTTGAAGATACATCTACTGAACAAACCTTTTATTTATGCTCTCATTTAACTGGTGTCTTGAAAGGTACCAATTGCCTCCCAATCACCAAATTTAATGGAATTTTCTCAGTCCCCATTTTCCTTGTATTCCTATAAGCAACTGATACTGCTGACCACCTTCATTTTGAAACTCCAGTGGTTTGCAATGACTAATTTCCTCTTCTGGTTCTTATTTCTTCACATTAATGTGACATTATAATGTAAGCTAAACAGTCACAACTAGGAGTTGAGACCATCCCCTATTCAACAAAAGGAAAGAGATTTAATTGAAGTGGAAACTGGTTAGCACCTAGAGAAAAGTTTTCACTTGTTTCTTAATTTCCAATCGTTTTTATATAGCAATGCAATGACATTTATTCAAATCACTAGAGAGTAACATAACAAGCACCTATACAAAATCTTACATTTTATGAAACCCTTTCACATTTACTTCTCATAAAATAACCCTATGCGGTAATAGTTGCATATTAAAAACAAAGTCCTGCTTTTCAGAATGACTTCACTAAAAAACTACACCTAAATACTATCCTTCACTTTTTCTTTAACATTTGGAAAATACTTTAAAGTGCAATGAAAAACTTAAGAAACATCTGTAATCCCAATATTCAAAAATAACATCTACTAACATTTGCCATTGAACATTTCTTCCATCCCATCCCTATTACATTTAATAATTTTTAATTGCTTCATACTATCTAGAATATTAATGTTCTATAAAAAAGAAGTTTGCTTTTTATTTAAAAATAAACAATCCAGGTGGGGAGGGGGCCATACTGATCAAACTGACTGTAATATCAACTCAAACAATTTTTATAAATTTTTAAGTTGTAGTTTTAGAGTTACAAGTGGAAAAAGAAATGAAGCATATTTATTCAATAAATGTTTACATGTGCAAAACAACACAAACAAAAATTATGTACATGAAGACAACAAGATTCTCACCTGTTCAATCTCTTTGGTTTTTGATGCTATTGCTTTAGAGCGACTGGTTAGCTGACTATCTTCAAATAATTCTATGGCATCTGCTGTGTTTGACTCAGGTTCCTCTGGCTGGTCAGTAAATAATGGTGCTGTGGATCCTGCCTTGAAAAGGAATTAGAAACCTTTAATTACTTTCTTAAAAAACATAGAACATTTCAGATGGTTGTGTATAGGCACTAACTGGCAAATTATATTAAGTGCTAGGTTTAACCTGTTCTAAGGAAAGAAAACTCTTTTGATTTCACTATGTATGATGAGCGTATGTCAAATAGATTAGAGGAAATGACTGCTACTTTTTTTTTCAATATGGAAAGTTCATGAATTTGCATGTCATCTTTCCGCAGGGGCCATGCTAATCTTCTGTTTAATTCCAATTTTTAGTGTATGTGCTGCCAAAGCAAGTGAGACTGGTACTTTTAAATTTTAGGTAAGACAAAGCCTCTAGGCTTATTCAATTCCAAAATATCATTTCAAACTATATTAAGATACAGATAAAAAAATTCTTGTCCCATGACTATTCCTTAAGCAATCAGTTTACAAAATACTGAGGAAAAAAGTCCAAATGGAAGTGAGAAGTGTTTTACACACATAAAGAAATATTTTTAAAGGGAAGATGAGAAAGGGTTCCACCTTTAAAAGTTAAATCACCTTGCTCCTGTAGCCTAAGAATTCATTGAAGTCATTAAAAATAAAATCCCACAAATAATAATGATCACTTCAGTTTTAGACCAATAATTGAATGAATAAACATACTGTCAATTACGTCTAAAACCGTCAGAAGGAGTCTATACACACACATAGACTATCTCTAGAACGATATTATCTACAGAAAAAAAATGATCAAAGGAATTGTCTCAATAGTAACAACTTGGAAGAAGTAGGATAGAGGAGCTACATTGTAAATACTTTGGTGCCATTTGAATTTCTGACACATGTATGATCTACAAAAAGAAAAAGAACCCTAGTTTTTTTTTTTTTACAGGTTTGAGTTACATATTTTAATGGACTTATATCAACAGCATAAAAATCATTTAAAGAAAGAATTCCACTAGCAACATTATTTGTAAATTGCCCAGTCCCTGTGCCTGCTACTGCAACACAAAACTAAGACATAGGCCTACACAATATGTAAACTGGTGAGCAAAGAAAGCACATCAGAGCAGATAGGAGCTTTCAGAAACCAAGCATGTGAAAAAGAAAACAAAACTGACAGTTAAAAGAGCTCATTAGTAATTAAATTTAATTTAATTAGATATACATGTCCAAAGTACTGTAGGGAAAACAAGGCAAGCAGATTCAACATAAATTGCTAGAAAAAATTAATTAATTGAGGTCATCAAAGAAATATAAAGCAGCATAAAAGTTTACAGTAGGTAGAAAAGTAGAATCAAGAAGATCTTGAGTTGCATTATCTCCAACACTATTGATTCCACTGAATGAGTACAGATCTGAAAAAGCCATGGAAGATGGTCATTCCAGTCTAGGGACAGGATAAGCATAGACACTGAAGCCGAAAATAACACCCTATATGTGAAAACAACATAAGTCATTTTTTTTTCTTTTTAAAAACGCTTTTTATTATTCTTTTTAAGAAATGCAACAAGAGCCTTACAAACCATCTGTCTGAAGAGTAAGCACAAAGACTGACTCTGTTTTGGTACCACCACAGTTGCAGAAAGGAATGTCAGGCAGTCAGAAAAGAATTGTGTTTCAGTCACCCTGCATGGTTGCTGCCACACATGGAACATTTTTAGGCCAACTTTTTAAAATTCCCAGTTAAGGTAAACAGGATATTAGATGATCTTCATTAAGACTCCATGGGTGTATCTGAGCTCCTGCTGCCAAAAGGGCCACTAACAGATTAATTTCTTGCACTACGGAGAACAAGCCTCTCTTGTCTTCCAAATCCTTCATTTACTGAAGAGACTGTGCTTACATCCCAGACCCGAAGCCCTTCTTTTTCACCTCCAAAGGCATAAATAAATGGCAAATCAGGGCAACATGAAGAACGGAAGAGAACTCCCATTTTCATGTCCCTAGAATGAACTAGATTTGGCTTATCTCCTTAATTTGTCCTAGATCGTCACATATTTGTCTGCTGAAGCAGTCACAAGACAGACACTTGATTTGACCAGAGATTTCATCATTGTGTGCATTAAGTATAAAAACTGGCTTATCTGAACGTGCATCCAAATTATATACAAAGCCATCATCTGTACTAGCCAAAAAATGAAAAGGTGAGAAGTGATTCCAAGTCACTCTCTCTATCTGCCCACTGAATCGCCAAATTCAGTGGCTTTCATCTGAACTTTGGCAGTCATACAAAGCCACTGACTTGTCATACGAGCCAGAAATCAGAGTCTGTGCTGCAAGTGGATGAAACTGCAGTATCTGGATCTTGTCTCTGTGTACAGTGAGGCTAGCTGCTGCTTTCCCCAACGACATATCCCACAGAATGACAGTGTTGTCAGCTGATGCACTTGCCAAAACATTTCTGCTTAACTTATTCCATGAAAGGTCAAGGACAGCATTGATATGCCTTTCTGCTAAGGAACTCTTCTTTCCTTTCTTTTTCTTTTTTGAAAGTTTACTTCTGAGTGTGAAGACTGGCTCTAAAGCGCCCTCTATATCAAGGTCCCACACTTCAATAACAGGGGTATTGTTTCCTACAGCAATATAACTTCCAGTAGAATCATCTAGGCTAGGATCAAAATTCAATCAGTCCACACTCAGAGGATATGCAGACAAGAGTTTATCATGGTTTACATAAAAAGTCTTCTTGATTATAAACATGCACCTCTAAATTGCACTGGTCCTGTTAGCTCAGCCACAAACTGTGAGATTATCACTGGGCTTAATCAAGAAATGTTCACTTTCATATTGTTCCGCATCTTTCAGAGTAACATAAGGATCCTCCTGATCATAACTCCCATAGACCATAAGAACCAAGAGAGATTAACCAAGAGTCTCAGCATCTGGGTCATCTTCCTCATCAATAGTATTTATCTAAGTCACATTCAGCCAGCTCATGATCATTGTGCATCCTATTGTCCTCCAGGTCACCATCCTCCAGGGACTCTCTTGGGCCTGCCTAGGTGCATGCACTCTGCATGTCACCTTCTGAAGGACTCCTCTTCATCACTGCCACCTTCTTCTTGGAGTTTCTCCTTTGCCTCAGAAATGAGATGTTTTACTTCTTCTTTACTCAGCTCTACCTTGTCTGCTGTCTCTTTGGCCACGCCGCAGTGGACCCAGGCCACACACGTAACCTGGCAGCTGTGGTTATTGATCCTCAGCTCAAGGGCGTGTCAGGCTAGAAACCCAGACACAGTGAGTGGGACCACCGCCGCATTGCAGCCGCACACCCAGGGCTTCTCATGGGGCCGCTCCTAAGTCATAAATTTCAATTTTTCTTCTACAGCAGGAAGTGACTGTTCTATTGTAAGTTTTTCTTTCTTTTTTTCTGAGAGAAGGTCTTGCTCTGCCACCCATGCTGGAGTGCAGTGAAGCAATCATTGCTCACTGCAGCCTCAATCATCTGGAAACAAAATCCTCTCACCTCAGCCTCCTGAATAGCTGGGATGACAAGCACATGCTACCATGCCCTGCTAATTCTTTGTGGGATTTTTTTTTTTTTTGTACAAATGGGGACTCACTATTATGCCCAGGCTGGTCTCGAATTCCTAGGTCAAACAATCATCCTGCCTTGGCCTCCCAAAGTGCTGGAATTACAGGTGTGAGCCAGTGTATCCGCCCCTCACTCCCCCCCCCCACTTTTTTTTTTTGAGACAGGGTCTTGCTCTGTCACCCAGGCTGGAGGGCTGTGGTGTGATCACAAGTCACTGCAAACTTCAACTGCTGGGCTCAAGTGATCCTCTAACCTTAGCCTCCTGAGTAGCTGGAACTAAGGGGCCACCGCACCCAGTTTTTTTTTTTTTTTTTTTGGTAGTAACAAGACCTCACTACATTGCCCAGGCCAGTCTCGAATTCCTCCTGCCTCAGTCTCATCTACTGGGACATAATATTCTTCAAATGCCTGAATATTTAAGTATATTATTAGTATATTTTTTCTTCATTCCGACAACCAACAGAAAACTCTCACAGCTATTTGTTTAAGGACAGCAAGCAAATCATATCTCCATAAAACTTGACTGCAACCTCCTTGATGGCTAGGATGGTATCTCAAAAGCAATGTCTAACACAAGTAGATATATACTGCATACCTAGTACAGTATTTTTTAAAGTGTGCCTTAATACACTAATCTTGCAATATATGCTGTGAAAAAAATTACATAGTCAAAAGTTGGTAAATTATGCAAACTTTTATTCACCCTCTTACTGAACACTGATGAGCATATTAATAATACATTAAAATCTCTGAAGAGTGCTGAAATATCAAAACTAACCTAACCGTTTTAAACCTAGCAGTTCTCAAATACATTGGCTATTAGAATCTGTTTTTTTCCTTCCTTAGAGCACTAATATCCTTCAGACTAAACACAGTCTTACACTTTCAACTTTTGGGCTCTAATACAGCATTTCCCAAAGTATGAAATACAGTATCAAACACTTTGGGAAACGCTAGCATAACACTGAAAAGTATAAAACTGAAAAGAGGTAGGAACCACAACATGCCTGAATATTTAAGTATATTATTAAATTTACCTTCAATTTCACTGGACTTTCTATAAACTACAAGTTTTCCCAAATTGCTTACAACTATACTAATAGCAGCAAGTGAAAATAAGTTGGAAACTTAAGCATTCTCTCTCTCTAAGCTCATAATAATATAATTTACAAAATGTTTCTGAAGTATATGAACCATTACTTAAAAGGCTCATATAAACTAAAATATTGCCACAATTAGATTTAAACACAGATGCACATTCACACATACACAATATTTTGCCAAACTCTTTCTTGGCATCAAAGGCCTTTCTTCTTTCCAGGTTATTCTGTCAAGTTAGATATGAGTTTACGGGACCAAGGCCAAAATTTTATTTCTCAAAAAGCATGTACTACTGAAATGAGTAACTATTTAACAACAGCCTGAGAACTATTGTTAAATAGTTACTAAATTAGCAAAATATTAATAAGCAAAATTATAAATAAGAGAAAAATATTAAGATTATATGGGACTAAGTTTACAAAAATTATCACAAAAATTTCCCAAATGTTTTATTTCCAGTATGAAAAAGTATCAATCTGTGGGAAAACATTTTAGAGAAAGGGATAAAATTGATGCTGCTGTTCAACATTAATGATATACACAAATAAACATATTATGGTTATCAGTGCTACTCTCACGTATCTTGCCTTTGATCCAACAAAAGAACATGTCTGACCAATGACTCCATTTACAGATTTTTAGAGTTATTTAACTTTTCATTAATTCAAAATCTAGCAAATTCTGAGCAAACTTTAAAGGAAAAAAAAAGATGTTTAAAAAAACTCTTTCTAAATCCAGTGTCACTCACTGATTATTCAGTGTCAAGATGCAGTCAAGAAATGAGAGAACCCAAGTAGAATATTTAAAATTTGAGAAAAGTAGTGAGCTTTTATAAAATCCTGAGACAAAAAAATGGTAAGAGAAGGAAAGATAAAGCCTTGCTAATTGAAGATAAAGTATTTAGGAAATAAGAAATTATTCTTTTTGGAAGTTTTTGGTTCTACAAAACAAACTACCGATATTCCAAAGCAGCAGTTTTGAAGCATACCTATCAATTATTAACATAGAAACACTATTCTAAATTATTAGAGAAAATAACCAAACTAATCCAATTAAACGTATTACTGAAAAGTACTGTTCATGCTTTTAAATAGTGCTGAAAAAGTACCAAGGAGGAATAGCTTGGTGTTTCTGATCCATTTACTGAAGGATATGAATAAGTATCTATTATTATAGATACAATAAGGAGAAAACCTTGACCCACTTAAGAACAATTGATATCTAAAAGACAGATCAGCTTTTTTTTTTTTTTTTGGGAGGAAGGGAGGGAAGGAGGAAGGGAGGGAGGAGGGAAGGGATGAAGGAAGGAAGGAAGGGAGGAAGGGGGGAGGGAGGGAGGGAGAGAGGGAGGGACGGAGGGAAGGGAAGGAAGGAAATCAAGCAATGAGAGAGATATTGCCGACCTGGCAGATCAGCATTTTTAAAAAGAAAGGCTCTATTTGTATAAGTTCTGATAGGGTTTGTACTTTTTATGAGCAGTTCTCATTAGGTACTTTGGAAAGGATCTTTTCAGTGTATAAAGATGTAGTTAGGCACTATTTTTATATAGAATATCAATGCTTGTTCCCTTTTATCAAAGAACTATCTATAAAAGTCATTCCAAAAGTAAATTAAAAAGCTAGAATTCTCCTTTAAATATAATAATTTGTCAAGGGACAGATTTTTATATTGTCTACCCATCATGTCAAAGAACTCCTCTAGTATCAAATCCTGAATCTAAAAGCTTAATTTTGCCCATAAAATTTCTATATTTCCCTTTTAGAGATGTTACAGGTTATGGAGAAACTTTTCAGCTCATTTCAAAATATGTTACTAAAAACATGTCATAAACCTTTTTCTACGGTCCCAAAAATGTTCTCAACTTTTGGTACTCAAGACTCATCAAGGTCTCAGGTTACCCAATGAATAACTTCATTTCTTGAATTTTTTTTTTTTTTTTTGAGACGGAGTTTCGCTCTTGTTACCTAGGCTGGAGTGCAATGGCGGATCTCAGCTCACCGCAACCTCCTCCTCTTGGGTTCAAGCAATTCTCCCGTCTCAGCCTCCTGAGTAGCTGGGATTACAGGCACGCGCCACCATGCCCAGCTAATTTTTTGTATTTTTAGTAGAGACGGGGTTTCATCATGTTGACCAGGATGGTCTCGATCTCTTGACCTCGTGATCCACCCGACTCGGCCTCCCAAAGTGCTGGGATTACAGGCTTGAGCCACCGCGCCCGGCCTCTTGAAATATTTATGAGATAATCTGCATGAAGTATAACAAGCAATATAAATATGGTACAATCCAAGGTCCAATTAGATTTCTGTTCTGAATTCACTGGCTTATAACTAGTGGCTTAGCATGCTTTCCTGAGATACTTTTAACGGCAAAGCCCATTAAAATAAGTATATAAATAATGCATTTTTCTTATACTCCATATTTATACTATTCTAACACTCCAAAACTATAGAAAACGTTCAGACAAAGTGTGATTACTGAATTCAGCCATTCATATTCAGACTATCATTCTGTGTGGTAAATTTTAATACCTGTAATCCATGAGGCTATATTTGAGGTAGGGAATAAAACAAATATTCTCAACCCATAATTTAAAATCCAGACAAAACTTTCAGATGTGAAACATAAGAGAGAAATTATGCCTTACCTCATACTCAGAAATTTCAGGCAAGTTACTTTCATCTGCTTTCTCTAGCTTTTCAGCAGCCCACTTGCTTGCAGCCTCAGCAAGTTCCTTTTCAGTTAGCCTACTGGGTTTGTCTAACACCTAATAAAAATAGAAGAACATTTCTGTTACAATTCTCAAGGGCTTTTAAATTTCAAATATACCAAGAAGTACACTCCACTTACGTTTAAAATCATATAAGCCTTCAAATTTATATGAAGAACAGGTACATTCTTTATTTCCTCCTTCAAAAATATTCAACCTAGAATTACTTAAGGTAGCAATTCCTTCGGGACATACAGACCAGATCTAATTCTTAATTTCATTTACATAAGACTCTAGAAATTCATCTAAGTAAAAAAGCAAAAGACACTAACAATTAACTCATACACTCATCATATTTAGAATATAAAAGACATCATACTAATTTCAACTTTGTGTCTTTAAGTATATTTAATGAAATGTCTAAATTTCAGTAAGGCAAACTCCTAATTAATACAACAGACATGTACAAATAAGCTATTTTTACACTATATCGTGAGTTATATAAATCCTATTCCTTACACAAAATTTTTAAACTTAAATTTCATTTTTTGATCCGACCACTAGCTCCTGTATCTAACTGCATACAATACTGAACAGGGTATGGGCTTTGCAGTTATACACAGACCTGGTTTTCAATCACAGTTTAATGACTTGCTAGGTGGATGACTTTATATGCATAACTTATGACCCTGTGAGCCTTTGTTTCTTCATTTACAAAATAAGGGTTAATAATACTCACTTTACAAAGCAGTTGTAAGAATTGAAGGAGGTAATAGATCTGAAAGTATCTAAAATAATGCTTGGTACTTTAGTGTCTCTTTTCCATATTCACTGATGTGAATCTATTATACTAAAACATACCTGAAAATCAATCAGCCCATGGGCTCAATATAAAAATAAAGGTAGTAAAATGTCTTTTCTGGATCAGATATAATTCCCCCAGTACTGTTTAAAGGCTTATTTTGTATAATAAGATATAAATGGTAAAGCACAAATTTAAAAATTATTTCCTTAGGACCATTATGATAACTCTCTAATTTCATCTGATTTCCTTGGCATACATTTTCACCAACTATGCCCTGCCATGCCTAGTTGCATAACCGTCTCTTACTTAAAAAATCTTTCTATTACTAAGGTTTACTTCTCTAAGGTCACATCAGTGATTCCAAATATCCCTCAGTGCTGGGCACTGAACTTATGGGGCATTACCATTTATAAAGTGCTTTTATTTATGAACCAATAGAAGTACTTTAATTAAAAAGAATTCCATTGGGCGATCAGAACTTTATTTTCCCAACTTATAAACTAAAAAACTGAATGACGGTAACTTGCCCAAAGTCACTAATAAATGCTGAGCTGGAATTTAAATCTAGGCTTTTTGGGGGGATGGAGGGGAAAGAGTACAGTGGCATGATCTCGACTCATTGCAACCTCTGCCTCCTGGGTTCAAGTGACTCTCCAGCTTGAGCCTTCCAAGTAGCTGGGATTACAAACATGCACCACCATATAGGAATAATTTTTGTATTTTTAGTGGAGACGGGGTTTCACTTCATTGGCCAGACTGGTCTTGAATTCCTGGGCTCAGGTGATCCACCCACCTCGTCCTCCCAAAGTGCTGAGATTGCAAGCGTAAGCCACCATACCTGGCCTAGACATTTCTTTTTAAACTAAAAAGGTCATTTGATGTCTTTCCACACATTAAATTCATCAAACTACTGGCTGGCCATTTACAATATTTACTGGAATATTATAGCAATATATCTATATGAAGTATATTCCACAAACATTGTGGAAGCCTAAACAGCTCATTCTAAAGTCCTTCCCATATATAAGTGTAAAAAGGTATTATAAGTAATACCTTTATTATAACTTAGTAATAGAAGGTTTTTTAAAAAGCTAGTTAGTAGACGAAAACACATACATACACACAAATATATCCAAGAAAGCTGGGGGTTTTTCGAAGGGGTGAGGGAGCCTATTTAAGAGAAAGATAAAGAGCAAAAACAAGTATTTATAAGACTTCTGTCTAGCAAAGAATGAAGGGGCTGGGCATGGTGGCTCACACCTGTAATCCCAGCACTTTGGGAGGCTGAGGAGGGTAGATCACCTGAGGTCAGGAATTCAAGACGAGACCAGCCTGCCAACACGGTGAAACCATCTCTACAAAAAATACAAAAATTAGCTGGGCATGGTGATGGGCACCTGTAATCCCAGCTACTTGGGAAGTTGAGGCAGGAGAATTCCTTGAACCTGGGAGGTGAAGGTTGCAGTGAGGCAAGATTACGCCACTGCACTCCAGCCTGGGCAACAGAGTGAAACTCCATTCCCCACCCCTACCTGTCCCACAAAAAAGAATGAAGCAAAAGCCTACTATAACTTATTGTCATTCTGTATGCACATTCGAAAACCTATCATTTGAAACTAACAAACGCTGAAAAAGTATCCCAACATGTGGGCAGCCATTACATGAAAGAGTTCACCAAAGTTCACCAAATCGGAAAATCTAAGTTCATAAAGCTCCCCACGGCTACCATGTGACCTTGGGCAAATGAAAGAAGGCGCTATCTTCTGAATACATAAAATAACTATGGATCTAAAATTGTGCTATTTTTATTCCATTTTAAAACTTTATGGTCTGGCTAGGCACAGTGGCTCATGCCTATAATCCCAGCACTTCGGGATGCCAAGGTGGGAGGATCATTGAGACCAAAAGTTTGAAACCAGGCTGGGCAACATAGCGAAATCTCATCTGTATTTTTATATACAGATATATTTTTATATACCCCCCCCCCCAAAAAAAAGACTTTACAGTCTGTGTAACAAAAATGCAAACATATACATTGGGGTATCCAGTCTTTGGCTTCCCTGGGCGATGTGAGAAGCACTGTCTTGGGCCATCCATAAAATAAACTAACACTAAGCATAGCTGGTGAGCTTTAAAAAAACAAAAAGGAAAAAAAAATCGCATAATGTTTTTAAGAAAGTTTAGGAATTTGTGTTGGGCTAAATTCAAAGACATCCTGGGCCAAGGGTTGGACGAGTTTATATACGAGAAACTATCAGACAAAAATAGTTAAAAATCCAACATGGTTGTTCTCCACTAAACATTTTAACATGCAGCATAAAACTCTATGTTGTGACTTATATTCAGATAGCAGTATATCTCAGAGAAAATATTTCATATGTAATAATGTAAATTTTTGTAGTGACTTTAATAGGCAGGTACTATTCACTCTTCTTTCATCTATTACCTGACATGAAAAACAAGCAAGTCTTCCAGGTGGGTAAAGCATCCTTGGTATGATTAAGAGCAAACCATAATTCAATTGGTGTTTGTTATTCAAAGTCCAGCATCCCAGAACCCTCAGACTTCCAGGAAAGTTTCAAAGATACTAGTTATTACAAAGCAGACTTTTTTTTTCCTTCTGGGGCAGGGAAGCAGCTGCCCCCTGAACAACCAGTATAGACCGCTAGGTGGTATCTACTCTTTCTGAAATGCCAAAAAGTATAAAAAGCAGAACGAAAAGAAGTGAAGCAAATAACAAATGTAACAACCATTATGGCTAAGAGAAAGATTATGAGATCTGTGAAGATAACCTCTAACTGGAGAAAACAAATGGCAACAGCAAACTGTCAAATTTTTAATTTCTGAGGATTTATGTTTTAAGATGACATAGTGAGGGGTAGCTAAGTCCTTAAGAAATTAATTTAACTCCTGAGCCCTCACTCTAGTATACAATAGAAATATGAACCTACTAACGTAAAATTTCTATATGAATTAATAAGAGATAAAAATATACCATACATGTTACGTCTCTGCCTAAACACCCACCTCCCCCAAATAAAAGCAATATCAACCAGATATAACCCATGCAACCTGGTTATGGTCAAGATGAGAACACAGGTTGCAGCAATAAGTACTTTATTTAGTATAGACTGTGTTAAAAATTCAGTGAGAAAACTGCCCATTTTTCTCACAGAAAATAGCAAACTCGGGATGTTATTTTCAAGTTGTGGTTATTTAAGATTTAAGCTTTTTGTTTGTTTGTTTTTCTTAGAGAACAGCATCTTTCTCTGTTGCCCAGGCTAGACTGCAGGGGTGTAATCATAGCCCACTCCAGGCTCAACCTCCTAGACTCAAGCAATCCTCTCACCTCAAGCTTCTGAGTAGTTAGGACTATACAGATGCATGCCACCACATCTGGCTAATTTTTAATTTTTAAAATAAAGTCTTGCTGTGTTACCCAGGTTAGTTGTGAACTCCTGGCCTCAAGCAATTCTCTCATCTCAGTCTCTCAAATCACTGGGATTACAGGCATGAGCCACCACTCCTAGCCAAAAATTTAAGTTTTTAAATGCAGCAAATTAGCCCCCTTGGTGTAACAGTTAAAAAAAAAAAAAAAGCATCAGTGCTAGTCAGTCCATCTCATTTTGTAATTCTTCTTTAAACTGATTTTAGAAATAAAACAAACCTTTGATGAAGAAGCCGCTGAAGCACTTGAGGGTGAAGTATCTCTTGATGTTTTCAAAGACTGGGCAGGCCTCTCTTTGTCTATATAAGAAAATATAAGATGTAATTTTTTTTCTAGCTAGTTTGTTTTCAATAAAGTAATTTCGTAACGAAATTAATGAGGAGGTCATACACTTATTTTAGTACTAAAACTTTTCATTACATTAATTAAATTAAATAGGTTCACATCTAAGACTACCTCTCAGAGGCTGAGCACCATCAATAATCTAAAATAACCTGGAATCAAAGGATATCACAGAAGCCAGTCTAGGCCACATCACTGCCAGTTAGCAAACATGGAGCCATAGAGACCTCAAGAAAGGCAAAACATATTTTAAAATCACGAATGGTACTTCCTTCATGCTCCTAAATGCTAATTTTTGATACATCACAATAAAAATACAAAGGTAGTTATTATATAGATACCAAGGAGAACTACTTAAGAGGTAGCTCAAGGAGTGATCTATATAGGAACTTTAGCAGATATTCCTGAAATGTTTAGACAGTTTTAAACATAAAATTAGAAAACTATAATTCAGAGCACTAATCCAGTGCCTGGCATTAATGAATGCCCAAATACTTATTAAATGGTTAAAAATAAACCAGTATGAGATAAAGTCACTAATTTTACCTTTTGTCATTTTACTCACATAGTGCTGTATGCGTATCATTTATTTAATAGAAACTTAAGCCAGAAAATACATTTAAACAATATTACTTTAATAGCTTCAACAACTCCCTAATGGGTTTAAATATAATCTTAAAAATCAGTAACAGTGAGATGTTACTTACAGAAAAACATCTCATCAAATTGTCTATATGTGTCAAATATATAATCCTCCACCCTTAGTTGCTAGAAAAACTAACAAAATTAATAACATGAGAAGAGAAAGTGGCACTGAGTTTGGAGTCACACAGAAGCTGATTGAGACTGGACAGTGGATTAACAGGAAAGCAGTCAAGAGCAAAAGCAGAGGTGAAATAACTTTGAAACCAAGGCAAAGCCAGCTTCAGTCGAAAAGCCTCTTAAGCTTTTCCTGCCACAGCCAAGATGGATAAATAAGGGCCTGGAGGTTAAAAGACTTCCAACCACCAAGGACAGTGGTGAGTAACACCTTTCTAAAGTCCTACAGACCCAAAACACTTTCTCTAGCCTGGTGGTTCTTAACTGAGGACAATTTTGCACCTCCCCTCTGCAGACATTTGGCAATATGTGCAAATATTTTTGACTGCCACAAGTGGGAGAGTGTCACCAGCATATATTTAGTAGAAACAGGGATGCTGGTAAATATCCCGCTGTGGGGGACACCCACAAACAATTAATTGGCCTTACATGTCAACTGTGCAGGGGTTGAGAACTCCTGCTCTAGGCTGAATATTTCAATTTTGAAGCTCCAACAGCTTTAGAAAGATACAGCCCTAGAATCTTTTAACTTGTGGTACCACAAGAGGCATTCACCCTAAGCAACTTTCAAAGTTCTTGTAGACCTTAAAACTCAAAAGAACCACCACTGTATCCCAAATGGCCAAGAACATGATTTATTTAGTCATTCCTTATTGTATTTCCATTGCATGTGGCAAATTCCGCATTGTAGTATGATAGTGTCGGTGTATCCCACTATGCCAAAAGCTCCCAGAGGAACAAGTGTCATTGCTTATTCATTTCCAAATATCCATGACCTAATTAGCTCAAGTCCTTCAAGAAAAGACTAAGCACTCGAAAATCAGATAAAAAGATGAACCTCACTTTTCTACCCCAAGGATGCAATGACCTCCCAATGCTATTCAGATAAGTAATCCCTTCAAAGAAGATGAGGCACTGGACCAATCAGCATAGCACGTTATGTTCAGTAAAGGCAATAATTACAGGCTCAATTTTTTAGCACATACCAGCTAGACACAGATGAAAAAAAAAAAAAAAGAAACCTGTCACAAGCAGCTGTTGATCTTTTGCTTGGTGTTTCCTTTACAAACATATGGTCCCCAAGCATAGTCTTAGACCTTTCCTATTTTAGCTGCCCAAAGGCTACTTTAAGTTGTTACCAACCAATTTCACATGCAGAAGTGAAGGAACACTGAAGGGTAGTACAGGAGGCTTATCATATACCTGCATATATTCATATATCCCTCTTGCATCAATGGAAGCTGAAAGCAAGCAGCAGAGCATAAAAAAAAAAAACAATGATACAAACAGCAAAAGAAAGAACACAAAAAAAGTGAATAGAAATCATTTGATCCTATTGTTGTCAGGTCCTATCTTCCAATGGCCTGTCTATTCTACAGATCTCAGCCTCCTATGGAGTGGCTATTCCCAACCAGGAATGGCTAGCCCAGACACCAGCCCACAAATACCTCCCAAATCCTAGTACCTAGGTCTACTGTTGTTTAACTCTGGTTTCAACAACAGACTAACGGAGCAGTTACACACTTCCCCATTTCCATAACCTCTATCAATTCAAGTCTCCCACCCCTTCACAATCCCAAATCAGAATCTAGCTCAAAACTCACCTCTTTCAGAACTTCCTTCATTCTGTCGTTTGTAGGATGCACCAGGACGCACGGACTCTATGGAAAGGTGGGCAGGGAGGAATTAACACCAGCACCTCTGTGCCCAAGAGGAACAAGAGAAGAAGCCAGAAGTAGGAGTGATGAGAACAGGGACTTCTGAGCATTTTCTGGTGACCCTGAACTCTTTCCTACCCTACTTTCAAGTTGGGCTCCCTGAGCAATCACCACTGAAGGGGAATAAATAATGGGAGAAAAAAAATCTCCGTTTAAGGCCAGAAACCAATGGAAACTGTCAGGGTAAGGCCAGCCAAGGATAACAAGGGCAGAAAGGAATGAGAAAAGGTTCATGGAAGACAAAACACTGAAAGTTGAAGACAAAGATCAAATCCTATTCATCACTAGAAGTACCTAGTCGAATTCTCTCCATCAATAAAGCTGACACTAGAAGGCCTGGTAAAGGAGCACACCTGCATACATAGTCAAAAATGAAAGATGAATCACTTCTCCAAGTTAAAAAAGGACACTGGTTGAGTCCCTAATTATCCCACATTTAGAATCTTGAAATATTCTGTTAGCAAATATTGTCTGCAAACTCAATGATGTGGATGGAATCATCTTTCTAAATAACCTACATATACTAGTAGTCGGGGTCCCAGGTATTTTTCCAGTAAGATACAAATTCCATAAAAATGCCATCAAATCCTTCTACTACAGATCCCAAGTTGCCAGTTTTACATTTTTTTCTGAGAAAGTAACATTTTTCCTGAATTGTTTTGGCATTATCAACATCTTGCCCTGAAATGTTTCAAGAAACATACAAATATCGCCATTTTACTCTTGCAATAATGTTGAGGATGCAGTATCCTTTTCTCATTATTCATGGGTCTCTCTGGCAACTGGGAAGTTTTCTTTCTCCTGATAAGCTGATTTGTTTTTAATGTGAAGTACACTGTCAACCTCCTTCTTCTTTTTTTTTTTCTTTTGAGATGGAATCTCACTCTGTTGCCCAGGCTGGAGGGCAGTGGCGTTATCTTGGCTCACTGCAATCTCTGCCCCTAGGTTCAAGTGATTCTCCTACCTCAGCCTCCCGAGTAGCTGGGATTACAGGCGCCTGCCACAGTGCCTAGCTAATTTTTAAAAAATATTTTTAGTAGAGACGGAGTTTCACCATCTTGGCCAGGCTGGTCTTGAACTCCTGACCTCGTGATCCACCTACCTCGACCTCCCAAAGTGCTGGGTTTACAGGCGTGAGCCCCAGCATCCATCCAAACCCTTAGATCACCTACAGCAATTGCTCAGAGCCTCATGATGAACAATCATTTTATGCACTACTAACTTTATTATTGATTCTTTTAGGTTTGTTTTGTCCAAACCCTTAGTTCACCTATAGCAACGGTTCAGAGCCTTATGATGGGCATTTATTTCATGTATTACCAACTTTATTCTTACTTTTACATTCCTATCCTTATTTCCCCTTTATACAAAATTCCTCCTCCACTTATTTAATCCTATTTTATTAAGTGTTTATTTCATTAAGCTGCCTCAAATTCTTTCTCAAATCAAAATAATGGTGGTATTTCAGAGAAAGGTACTGGAGCCTTAGGCCAATTCATATTAGCTCCTGAGAGTGGATTGCATGCAACCCTTCGAAACTTTGTCTTCAGTTGCTCCATGTTGGTAGCTGAACTACGATGAGAGTATTCACTCCATAGCTATCAGCAAATGCTAAAAATCTTATCTTTTTAATCTTGGAGAGTCAGTTTACCAATACACCACTGTGGATGTTTTTGATTTTTATTCCAAACTTCAGAGATGCTGTAGGCATTACCACATGTAATTACAGATTCCCATTAGTCTTGTCTTAGGTAGGCTTGGACTATTTAACAATCTTCTAACAGACTAGTAAAATTACCCAGCTAAATTACAGTCATGAACATGTAAGTAGTTACTGTTTTAATTCTCTAAGTTTTGGGATTTTTTTTTTTTTGTAACATAATAAGAGATAATAGAAACAGCACCCACTGTATTTAAACCCTTCATACCAAAGTTTCCACTGATGTGCTCATATTAAAACTGAAAGGTCTCATTCTTCTTGTCCTCTTCTATAGCACTTTAAGGATTTATAAACAAGTTTTCCTTAATATTTTGCCATTTGTTTTTTGTATCTTTGTACTTGTTTCCTCCCACCTACATTTTCATAGCTATCCCTTCCTCTTTCATTTTTGTTGGTTATTGTTCCTTAAATGTGAGTGTTCCTCCTAACATTAATCTGTTTTGCTCTCTATTTTTATTTGTCTCCAATCAACATTATGAATATAAAAGTCTTTAAATTCTGCCTTTTTCACTCATTGTTCTACCTTCTAAACTAACAGGCTGCTACTAATTAGCTATTTAGCAATTACCTCAAATTCATCTCACACATGATCTTTGTAAGCTGACACTACCTCCCTGCTTGAGAGCAAGGTAAAAACGTTGAAAACATTCCTGCCTTGCTAAAGAAAGTGAGTTCCAAACTGGGACAAAGGAAAGAAACCAGAAAAACATTCTGAAAGTGGCAGTACAGAAATCAAATCCCTGTCTATACATTGATGAGTGAAAGAATAAATGGAAAAGAAGGAAATAAAAAGGAATTTCAAATACTGGTTCCATATAATGTTTTTCCCATTGAGGTGAAATCAAAAGCCGGAGAAACAGCTTAACATTCCAAAACACACTCAGGAAGTTCTGCAAGTTTCAGAGCATTTGGTGACTCCTAAAATGGAATAGAAGAATGCAAATCTAACAGGATCTTTCAGAAATACACTTTGTTGCTGCTGTGTTTTCCTGCTAAAAGAAACATTAAATCTAACCAGATTCATCCAATCCTACAAGTGCTATTCATTACTGACAACCCAGGTAGGAAAAAAAAGACACTGCAGGGGAAAAAAAAACTTGATCATTTAGAGATGATAAAGTTAGGGGCTATGCCTTGCAAACTATCAGATTCTCAGTGCAGTGCTTAGCAAACAGGGACAAACCAGGAATTTTTTAGTGCAACTTCCATCAAGAGACAACCTTCACCAGCACAGGCAGTATATCCATTTCTTCTTTAACAGCTGAAGATTTGAAGAGAAATTAAGATATAAATAAATGAAGATGTGGCTACACAGATGAGAATATTCTTTTACTAAATCATGGATGAAGATGTGGGAATTTGCGACTCTTGGTTAGGAAGAACATGGTTTCTTAGAGATCTATTGATTTATTCAATAACATATGAATTAGAAAATGGAGAGACGCAAGAAAAATGTTCTCGTGTTAAAGACATCAAAAATGACAGAGAAAATAAACAGGTAGAGGGTAAGAGAAAGCATTGCATCACCTCTGCTTCCCTCAAGATCCATTTTTTCCATGTAAGAGATGCAACAAGTTAAAGCAAAGGCCAAATGACTATTAAATACTTGGAAGTACACTTCTGAGTAGAGTTCTCCTTTAACACATCAGCTAAGATTACGTGGGCTCATTTTTAAATGTATAAGGAAAACATCATCTGCACACATTATCAACGTTTGCTACTGACAGGATATACTAAGTCCTAAAACAGGGATACAATAAAATGCCCACACACGGCATTAATTGATTTCTGTTTTAGAATCTTGATCATTAAGATGCCAGAAAAGCTATAGCTATAATCCTAAGATTTAGCTAGAAAACTCATAGCCAAAGCTCTCATGAATAAACAATGGATCCTCAAAGAAGAAGAAAATATTATAGAATCTAATTCAACAGTGCATTAATAGTCAAGATCAAGTGACAGCCTAAATTGTTTCAGAGAACTATTAAATTATACTTCAGGAACTCCACATGATATAACTCATCCCCATAAACCTTCTCAATTAGCATCCTTCACCTTCTACTCACCCTTCAGATAGCATCTAAAATGTTTATTCCTATTTAATTGTCTTCCTTACTAAATCATAAACTCAGAGGGCAGAGTCTGAATCTGTCATGCTTGGCAAACAATATATGTTCAATATATTTTTGTTGATTAAAAGATGTAAGTATTGAACACAATATAGTGGGCTTCGAACCAAGAAATGCTAGGACATTTTGCTGCTAGGAGAATGATTTTATCCTCTCTCCCTGTTAACCTAATATACATGATCTGATGATAAAGCTTTATTTCTATATTCCTATTACCTCTTCAAATCTGCACAGAAAAGCCTTCAGCTAAAAGCAGAATTAAATTTCAATATTGTATCAGCATGTCAGCTATATTACCAATAAGACTAGAATAGTTTAAAAAAATAAGAATGTCAGCTAAAATCAAAAATCATGGGGACTTCAAGGTTTATTCATAGCCAACAGGCCTTAAGACATATGTCTTTTTCTGTTAGATTGACATTCAAAAATGAACTCTATCTTCCAAATATAAAAGTCTGAAAACAGTACTTTTAATTATTATACTTTCAGTTGTCTTAGAAGTTTTTTAAAAAGAATTAAACACCAATGACTAATAACATTTTTAAAAAATACCTTCTATTCTCAAAAAAAAGAAAGCCATTATTCTTAATAATGGCTGTTGATATAAGGAAAATAAGGGAAGTTAGGCCCAAAGTTAGAGCTACAGAAAAACAGAAGCCAAGCAAAATAAACAACAAACTTACAAATCTTTCAAAGTAAAAGTATTTTTAAATTTCAAACAAAATGTCATAGAAACTAATTAATATGTGAGCATCACTGGTAAATGTGGGATTAAATCCTAGCAAACGTTTAGAATGAATTAACAGAGTGATAGTTTCATCTCCAGGAGCCACAGTAGATTTACAACAACAAAGGAAGGTAATCTTCATATCACTGTTTTGATAAAAGAAATACTTTGTAACTTAAGAGTTTCAAGCAACACCCCAGGAGATACTCAAGTGGAAATGAAAACAAGATAATAGTAAAGACAAGGGATCACAATTGTCAAATAGCAACAAACAATGCCGATTCAAGGTTCAGGTTAACAGATCTCTAGAGGTTTCCACAGTTGGCCTTATGCTACTCAACATAAATTATTAACGATTAATACAAAACACATCAGTCATACTTAATTTGCAGATAATGCAAGCTGTTCTTATCAGGTGCTAATATACAGAATTGCTAAATGAGATTTTGAGAACTCTATAAAGTTAATTAGATAAAATGTAGCATTTCTAGTTCTGTTTTGTTTTTTTTTAATGTATTAACTACACACATACAATTGCACCTGAAAAAGTATAGCCTGAGAGGCATTTTGTTTAACCGAGTTATATGTGAAAATAGCTTTGGTTTCAGTTGCCTATAATCCAGTAATGAAATGTGGTTGCTAAAATAAAAATTCATTTCTGATGTTACAATTTAAAAGAAACAGAAAATAAGGAAAGCAAAAGGTCTGGAAACCATGGCAAATAAAAGTAATAGCAAAACAAACCAAATATATTTAAATCTGGAAAAAAAATCATGAAGAATATGATAGTACTCCTCCAATATATAACAGGTTAAAACATAAAAGAAATCTTTATATATGGCTCTAAGAAGAATAACTAGTATTAAGAAGATGAAGCTAAAAAAGATTTTAATTCTTTTATAAAGAATGAGCTACATAAACACGGAAGGACTAGACTGCAATTTAATAAATTTATCACAAGAAATATTAATACTTTAACAAAGAATGGATGTGGGAGACTGAACTTAGTGATTTTTTCATCACTTTTAATGCTATATAGCTTAAATAAAAGGTAAATGACAAAAGTGTAAGATAGGAAAACATGAGATCATTTCAAAGGGGAAAAAAGAAAAGTATTAGAGTTGACAAATGTGGAGATATTTACATTAATTATAATAAAAATAAACTTCAAGTGAAAAATATATGAGGTAAATTTAAAAAAACAATTTTACCTAAGAAAGTTTACGAGGAGAAAAAAAATGAGGTTAACTAGGACAATCTGCACTGCTAGCACGTGAACATGGATAACAAAAAAAAACTAAAAATCATATTGCATGACCAGGTCAGCCCAACTCACTCATAGTAAGAATATTCTTACAAGTGAAGTACAGAATGAAAACAAGTTTGATTTAGAAGCTAATTAGTCTGAAGTAGTATAAAGTTCCATAAGATTAATTCAAAAGGCTAAGTAGATTTCATTAAATGTGTGTATATATGTGTAAGCACAAAATGGGAAATTAGCAAATTTAAAAATGTAGTAAAATCACTATAGCCAAACCAATAGTGATCATTAAAATAGGAAAAATTACTCTAGAAGTATAAACAAAAGGCAAAAAATTGTTACTTATTTTTAAAATGAGGACATAATTACTTTAACCTGTTATTTATACTTATAATAATATTTAAAGTCTTTGTCAACATTTCAGTTTATACTAGAAAAACTTAATTTTAACACATGGCTCATTATCATAGCTTAACCGACTGGGAAGTGAAGAATCCTGCGTCTCAGTCCTTTTTTGAAGAAAAGCCAGGTGCTGCAGTATTTGTGACATTTAGATTTAAAACAAAAAGTGGTATCCGAAATAAGTTTAAAAAAAAAAGTTACTTTTCCCATGTATTGTTTAAAATAAGACCTCCATTAACTTTTTGAAGACTATCTTAGGTAACTATTCTGAAAACAAGAAAGGAAAATTGAAAAAATTTTCATAGCCCAGCCCAAGTAATTAAGGAATACTTGAAAAGAGAGTTTTCCCAGAGCAAACTTTTTCTTCATTAAAGAATTTTACTTTCAAAGCTAAATAACTTTAAAAAAAGAAAAAAGGAAACATGCAGGCATTAAAGTCATATGCCTTGTTTATTCTATTTACCCCATTTTAGTCTACCAACTTTAAATCACTCCAAATATTAAAGGTAGGAGCCCTCAAAGGATGAGTGAAGTATATTGGAGACCCTAGGACATTATGGCCCATCCACATTTCATCTCAAGATCTTAAGAGTTTTGGCCACAAGAGGCCCAAAGCAAGTCAACAGAAAGAAGATGCATTCCCCAAAAATTTCTGGTTGAGGATAAAAATAAGACTAATTCACCAATAACTATCTTTAATAACTTCATTATAAGCTGTCAAGTAAGAATCTCAAGATTCTTTACTCGTGTTTTGTTAAAAAGTTTTTATAATCAGTTTCCAAAGAGATTTTCTTCTTCTTTAATGAAAATCATTCTTGGATATGGATTTAAGTCATATACATCCAATAAAAGAAAAAAGGTCTTGAGGGCTGAGTACACTGGCTCATGCCTGTAATCCCAGCACTTTGGGAGGCCGAGGCAGGTGGATTACTTGAGGTCAGGAGTTCAAGACCAGCTTGGCCAACATGGTGAAACCTCGTCTCTACTAAAATACAAAATTAGCTGGGTGTTGTGGTATATGCCTGTAATCCCAGCTACTAGGGAGACTGAGGCAGGAAAATTGCTTGAACTGGGAGGCAGATGTTGCAGTAAGCTGAGATCACTCACCATAGCACTTCAGCCTGGGTGACAGAGCAGTGAGCTTTAAAAAGAAAAAAAAAATTGCAACAAAAACCCTCATGTTTTAAGAAAGTTTAAAAATTTGTTTTGGGTTGCATTCAAAGCCATCCTGGGCTGCATGTGGCCTGGAGGACGGGGGTCAAGCTTGGCTGAGAGATTGTTTATCTTCTTAAGGGTGTGTGTGCGTATGTGTGTGTGTGCACACGCACGCACATTTGAACAATCAGGCATATATTTATGTATTATAGAGACATAAAATATTTACTTTATTTATTTACTTATTTACGTATTTTTAAGACAGTCTCATTCTGCTGCCCAAGCTAGAATGCAGTGGTGTGATCACAGTTCACTGCAGCATCAAACTCCTGGGCTCAAGCAATCCTCCTACCCCAGACTTCCGAGTAGCTGGGATACAGGCATGCATCACCATGTCCAGCCAGTTTTTTTAATTGTTTTTTTTCTTTTTTTAAGAGATAAGGGGTCTTAACTATGTTTGCCTAGGCTGGTCTCAAATTCCTGGGCTCAAGTAATCCTTCCAGTTTGGCTTCTCAAAGTGCAAGGATTACAGGCATGAGCTGCTGTGCCCAGCCTATGTTTGTTTCAAATAACCTTCTTATCTTTTGCATGATCATTCATACACCTGTATCCAAAAGTATGTTTTTGGGAAGCCCTACTCTGTCTATCTCTGCAAAGAGTAGACAATTAATAAATGTTCGCCAAACTTAAGAATCTTGCCACAACTTCAAGGGAAGACAATCTGATGATTCCAAATGGTTTTCCATCACTTTCACCATGCAAGAGGCAAAGGCTGTTAAATTAAAACTCTTATTATCTGAAAAAAGACAGTTAATGAGAACGATGTTGAAAAGGAAATATCCTGAACTTTTCTGATTTCTGCACCTTGGCTCATAATTCCTTCTAACTAGAAGGCATGTCTTTACTAGTGGAAATCTGAAATAAGGATGAGCCCAATGTCATTCCTTTATAACATGTTCTTCAGTCCCCAGAGTGTGAATTAATTTTTCTCACCTTGATATGCTCATGTCAACTCATTTATGACATATCAATTATTGTATCAAAGTTATATTTTATATATTAACATATTATAAAGTTGGTGTTAGCTGGTGAGAAATATATACCTATTTTCTAGTTCCTCAGTGACAGAGACATCATTGTATAATATTAACACAGTGCTTACACATAGAAGGCACAAGGAAATGTTTTGTGAATGAGCTCCACTGCAGGCTGCAAAGTCCAGAAAATAAGAATGCTTTCTCTAGAAAAGTAGTTATGTCATTGATTTATTCTAACACATACTAAGCAACTCAACCAGGATGACATGCTAAGATTGTACAGAATGCCATTTAGGTTCAGGCATGCCAAATTAAAAATATATAAATTAATTTAATTGGAGGTTGGAAAAGAGTAAGAGAAGTTCTCACTCTAAACTTTATAAGGCTGGCCAGGCACAGTGGCTCAAGCCTGTAATCTCAACATTTTTGGAGGCTGAGAAGGGTGAATCACCTGAGGTCAGGAGTTCGAGATCAGCCTGGCCAACATGGTAAAACCCTGCCTCTATTAAAAATACAAAAATTTGCCAGGCATGATGGTGCATGCCTGTAGTCCTAACTATTTGAGAGGCTGAGGCAGGAGAATCACTTGAACCCAGGAGGTGAAGGTTGCAGTTAGCCAAGATTGCACCATTGCACTCCGACCTGGATGACAAGAGTGAAACTCCATCTCAAAAATAAAATAAAATAAAAATACATTTTACAAGGCTATACCATATATTTACGGAAGACCACTGTTACTTTTAATGGAAAACATATATGTCCAATATACATAGATATCACCCAATAGAAGAATAAAGAGGTTGGACTGGCACCGGAACTAACGGAAAACAGAAGAATGTATAACTTTCAGGGCAGGATTTATAAAGACCTCTTTTATGCTAGGGGCAGTGGCACACGCCTGTGATCCCAGCACTTTAGGAGGCCAAGGCGGGCAGATCACTTGAGGTCTGGAGTTCGAGACCAGCCTGACCAACATGGTGAAACCCCATCTCTGTTAAAAATACAAAACTTAGCAAGGCATGGTGGTGTGCACCTGCAATCCCAGCTACTCAGGAGGCTGAGGCAGGAGAATCACTTGAACCTCGGAGGCAGAAGTTGCAGTGAGCTGAGATCATGCCACTGCACTCCAACCTAAGCAACAGAGCAAGATCCCGTCTCCCTGATCCCAAAAAAATGACCTCTTTTACATGCTGAAAAAATTAAAGGTGAAGTGTCATGCAGAATACCACTTCAAATACAGACGCACTGAAAAAAATGTGTCTGTATGGTGTTTGTTATACTATTCTAACATCTTTTCTCTAAGTTTGAAATTTTTCAAAAGAAAAAACTTTTTAAAAATCCCTTACATCTACAAGGAAAGCTGACTAAGTACATTCCCAACAGAGGAGGCTGAGAGAGAAAAAAGGAAGTCTTAAAATACATACTCCTATGTTGAGACTGATGGAAAGAGTATGATTTGCTCCTTTCTGGAGAGTAGCTTCTGCTACTGACACTGGAGCCAGATCTGCTGTGTGGAGAATCCTTTCGGCCACCAGGTGATTCTCTGAAAAAAGCATTGTCTCTTTTATGAGGAGACCGTTCTCTTGCATAATGGGAAGAGTAGAAACTTTTTCTTCTAAAGCCATCTCTCATGTCCCTTTGAAAAAAACAACAAAAAAAAAAACATAAACTGAGTTAATTATACTCTATACCCTATATACACAAGCTCAATGGCAAAAGCTCTGATTCTAAGCAACTTTTAAATTGTACTCTTGGTTCTCTTTTCCTATCACTACCTAACTGTTGAAGTCAGTTAACAAAATAAAACAGTATCAGTGAAATATGATTTAGAATGCACCATTTTTCAATTTGGAACAGAACCAGGTGGGTAAGTGCAAAAGTTACTTTATTTCAGGCAAGCATAAATCCTAAAATGTAAAAAACATATGGTTATATAGTTTCTACTTCTCTTTGCCATTAATGATACACCACACAGCTGCTACATTCTCAAAAACACTTAGAAATGTCAAAGGTTTCCCAAGTAAGACACATCATGGCCAGTTATCCCCTTCTATGTACAGAAACTACTGGTTTTCAAGGGATATTCAAGGGGAGGAGAGTACCATTGATGGGTAAGGGCCAGAAATGCTGTTAATTTCCTACAGTGCCCAGGACATGCCCTCCGACACTACACACCAAAAAACCCTTCAGTCCAAAATGTGAATAATGCCAACACTGAGAAACCCTGCTACATGCCTATTAAATTCTTCCTCTCTGAGTTTGTATCCTCAGTACATAGATTGTTGCCCATCTCTAAATAACTACTTTTATAAATCATGTCTACTTTTATAAATTAAATTTCTTGAGAAATATCAACTAAAAGTACCAAGTAAGCCCTAGTAGTAAAACCTTATAAAGCAAAACCATTTTAAAATGTCAAAGCAAATCAAAATTACTAAATAAAATAGAGCCTCTATTAAAAGAACACTTAGGGGTCAGACAGGTTTTGGCAGGTGGATAATCTGTAATCCTAGCACTTTGGGAGGCCAACGCAGGTGGATCAACTGAGGTCAGGAGTTCGAGACCAGCCTGACCAACATAGAGAAACCCCATCTCTAGTAAAAATACAAAATCAGCTGGGTGTTGTGGCACATGCCTGTAATTCCAACTACTGGGGAGGCTGAGGCAGGAGAATCGCTTAAACCTGGGAGGCAGAGGTTGCAGTAAGCCGATATTACACCACTGCACTCCAGCCTGGGCAACAAGAGCAAAACTTCGTCAAAAAAAAAAAAAAAAAAAAAAAAAAAGAGTGAAACAGGTTTTAATCCATGATTTAACAAATGTACTTCAACACTGAAGAATATTAAAATTTCAGACAGAAGAGTGCTACGTGACAAACCAATAGCATCGAATTTCAAATGCTTACAAAATTATTTCAGCATATTGATTGGCAGTCCATAGGATATAAGTAGGCTGTTGTCCTAAAGTTCATTTGAACACTAGCTGATGAACACCCCAAATATATTGTCCCTTCAGACACAAGTAAGTTTCCCTGGGAAAAAGCAGAAAACAGCTTAAATTAATTTATGGTAAATGACCTGGTATAGAACACTAATACTGAAATAGAGCATTAAGGAATTCCAGCCCTAGTTTAGTCACTAAAACTACAAGGGTCATACCAATAGCACTGGTTACCCAGAGTGGTAATATGGGTATTAAATAAACAGGTTTTAGAAACTGTGTGAGGTGCTGGGACCCAATGGTTTACCAAATGTACACAGTTCCTGCCATCACAGAACTCTCAAGATAATAGAGAAGCTGACGTTGGACAAATACACATAAAACACGTGAGTGCAGCCAAGAATGGATGTAGAGAGACTAACGAGTAACCTAGCTTAGTCCAGGCAAGAGACAGTGGTAGCTTAGATGAGACAGGAGCAGGTGAGGGGTCATCAATTATACATGTTCAAGAATATACCTTCTTGACTTAATGAGACATGATTAATGTTTTACTAATAAAGTGTGAAAGACAAGGATGCCAAGCTGATTACCATAATTTTGGCAAGAGAGATTAATGAAATGAGAAAAATAAATTTGAAAAATGAGGATAAAGGTGGGAGATCCACATGTTCATGGAAGCATGTTATATTTAAGATGTTTGTGTAATATCTAGGTAAGTAACTAAAGATACTAGTCTGAAACTCAGAGGAAATGTTTGGCTATCAATATAAATTTGTCTGTAAATAGGCAGTACTTAAAGCCATGGTATAGATGAAATCAAAGGAAAAAAAGAACAGCAGGCCTAGAAAGTGAGGCTAAAATAACTATACTATGAGGAGAGAAATGGGCTGTCACAGAATGAGAGAATAGCCAGAGAAACATTAGAAAGGAGAATGCATTTATCTCAGAAGCCAAGGAAAGAGTATCCTAAGAAGGAAAATAAAGGTTTCCTACATTGAAATTAAATGAACTCTTACTGATAACTTGCTTATGGGAAAGAGAAGAGTACGTCCATATTCAGAGGAAAGATTGTCTACTTTCCTCTATTGAAGGGACAAAATGCTGAACTACAGTTTCCTAATCCTGACACCAGATGGCAGTAAAATCATAACAGTTCAGAGCTATCAGTGGCCTGGGGTGGCTATACACACTTGGGGGATGTTAAATGCCAAATGTTAATAGCTCAGAGTAGAATAATGTCTCTTTTCCCCTTCACATCAATACCTCTCCTACTGACCACCAATTTAAGCACAAACATCACAACAGGCCTCAATTTTCATAAGTATCCTAAAGTGGTAACATTAGCCATTTTTTTCAGATATGTGTGGTGTGTGTGTGTGTGTGTGTGTGTATATATATATAGTGTCCACTACATGAAGAGCACTATGGGAATTACTATTGTTTTGAAAAAGCTAAGTATATTGGGAAGGTGGGTAGGGTGAGGGGGGTGAGGACCAAATGTTTAAGAAGGCTGGTACTATAATTCAGAAGGTTACTTTATAAGTAGAGAGAAAACTGACCCAGGTCTAAGGAAAGATGAGATTTAGACCAACATTATCTAAAAAAAATACAGTCAAGCTACAGAAGTAGTAGTCATATCTAAAGTAAAGAGAAACAGGTCAAATTAATTTTACCATTTTACTTAACCCAACATATCTAAAGTATTACCAACATGTAACTGACATGAAAAAAAATTTAGTAAGCTATTTTACCTTCTTTTTTCAACCTAAATATTAAAAATCCAGTGTGTATTTTATGCTTACAGAATATTTCAGTTTGACCTGACCATATTTCAAGTGCTAAAGAGGTGCATGCAGTTAGTGGCTCCCATACTGGATAGCAGAGATTTAGATGGTGGGGAAAGCATCACAAACTTTAAGAAAAAGCTGTTAACAGATTAGAGTACTATATGAACAAGAACTGAAGTAGTTAGAACAGTGAGACCTTAAAAAAGCAGTCAGTGAAAAGCAAAGGTAGAAAACTTTTAAGAGAGAAAGGATAGTATCACATACTGCAAGTCTGGGGGGACTATATATTTAAGACCTAGGAGTTGGCTAGGTACAGTGGCTCATGCTTTCAATCCCAGAACTTTGGGAGTCAGAGGTGAGAGGACAGCTTGAGCCAAGGCGTGCAGGACCAGCATGGCCAACATAGAGAAGCCTGTCTTTACAAAAAATTTAAAGCTAGCTGAGAAAGGTGGGACCCACTGGTAGTCTCAGCTAAAATAGGGGGTTTAGGTGGGAGGATCACTTGAGCTCAGGAGAGGCTGCCATGAACCATGTTCGTGCCACTGCAATCCAGTGTGTGTGACAGAGCAAGACCCTGTCTCAAAAAAAAAAAATAACACCAGGCTGGGCACGGTGGCTCACACCTGTAATCCCAGCACTTTGAGAGGCCGAAGAGGGGCATTTCATTTGAGTGCAGGAATTTGAGACTAGCCTGGCCAACAAGGTGAAATCCCATCTCTACTAAAAATTAGCTGGGTGTGACGGTGCGTGCCTGTAGTCCCAGCTACTCGGGAGGCTGAGTCAGGAGAATCACTTGAATCCAGAAGGCAGAGACTGCACTCCAGCTTAGGCAACAGAGTGAGACCCTGGCTCAAAAAACAAAAAACAAACAAACAAAAACATAGGTGTCATTTGATCTGTCGGTCCAAGAATCTAGTAAAATTTTGGAAACCAAAGCAGACTGCAAAAAATTAAGATACAGCTAGTGAAGAAGTTAGGCCATTACTTTTCTTCCAAAACAGGTTGAAGGTGGGAATATGGGAGGGAACAGTATTTTGAGCAAAGGGGCTTATTTGACCATTGCTGAAGGTTGACAGAAAAAAGCCAATTCACTATAGAAGGGGAAACTGATAACCCAAGACACAAAAAGGTTAATAGTAGAGAAGGAGCCAAAAGTCAACAGGACAAAGTAAAACAAAGGGACTAAGTAGAAGAGAAGAATATGAAAAGGGTAAACGAAAAAACTCTCATTTCGAGAAAAGAAAATAGAACAGAGTTCTCATCAGAAGGCCTTTGTCTCAGTAATTACAGAAGTCATCAATAAAAAGTAAAAAAAGCAAAGAACGTGAATGGAGGCTTCAGGCCTCCATTATAAAGGCAGATTATAAAGTTTTACAGATCCTCTGGGGCAAAGTATTAGAGTAATGCTTCTCAAAATGTGAGTCCATAGACCGGTATACTTGCCTCAAAATTTGCAGGAAAGGTGATAGAAATGCAAATTCATGGGCATCGACCCTCAGCAGCTGAATTAGAATCTCTGAGGGTGTGACCCAGGCTTCTGGATAAGGCTTTCCAGGTGACTTCTATGCAAACAAAATGCTGAAAAGGACTGAATTAAAGAGCCTCACTAGCATGTAAGAGCTGTTTGTAAGTGAACTGTCCAGAAGTCAAAATGTAGAAATTCAGAGTTCATGATAAAGGCAAAACAATTCCCAGTGATGAAAGTAGGGTCTGACCATTCCTGTAGATATATAAAGTTGAAAAACACAAGAAAGAACTAGAGTTAATGGTGGCATTAAATCAGGATACAGAGGCAGACTGGATAGAGAAGATTGTGAGCTAGAAATTATGATCATCAAGGAAGAAAGAATGAACTCCTGGAAATTCATCAGAGAATACAGTTAGACTGGGTGGTGTAAAGGAGGAAGTT